GAATTTATAACTTGTGTTGGGCAAGGCCGTGGCAACATGGAGTTTTTCTCCGGGGGCTTCCCCGGTTTCTCCGTGGCATCCCAACAATTACTCCATTTACACACAGAAGAAGGCAATGGCAAACCACTTCTGGATCATCTGCCAAGAACGTATATGAACAGGTCCCAGTCCGAGAAAAGGATGGAAGGATCCTGTTCATATGGACCTGTCGTCAGACAGAACACTAAATAATAAAGGGACTAAATACATCACCTGCTTTAACACAGAATTTAGCATATATGAGTCTTATATGATTCTCAGTATAAAAAACGATTACTTCTTTAAGCATAATTAACACATTGATGTCTGTAATAGTGAACTACTTTATTTGAGGCACGTACTGAATACTTAAATATTATTTATACGAGCATATGCTTCAAAGCTTTAAAGGGTTAAGGAAAGTAAGCTGCAAACCACTCAAAAGTATCGGAAAAGAATAATAATATTTTGTCACAATCTGACGACAGACAAGCTTTCGAACCGTCGTAACTAGAAGCTTAGGGCTGGAAGGATGTGCCGATGTGTTTAACGGATTTCGTATCGACTCTAGGATATTGTGTTGGCTTACAGTTTATTTTATTCCAGACACATTCCAGGCACATTAGAGGATATGATGGAAATAGGTCACCATGTAATAGAAGTAGTGGAAGACAATTGTGGTTGACTGTCTTTTCCGTACGTGAACCAAGCGAACGGTAAATTCACAAAGAAAATTCGAGCTATGGCTGCCGTTTACCAAAGTGTCAACTGTATACGTGACCTGACTCAGATGTCAGTTCGATCGTAAGGCAGAAACTGTCTTCGAAGGTGACAACAGACAGACTCCAGAGGCTAGGAGGCGTAGCTACATAACCTACATCAAAATGACATTCTGCTTCAGGCGTAGAAAGCTTTAATTCCTATTTATCCATTAGATGAATAGCTAGAACATTTTCTTAAGATGATCTATTAGGCCATTACGTTTCGTTCTTTTATAACTTAAGAGCGAATACCAATATGATTTTCTTTGAAACGTATGACACACGTCAAATTAAATCAGTTACAGAGGTCTGCACATACAGTCAACTCTCTACAACAACAACAACACACTTCGTGTCTCTGTTCCCTGTACACCCACTCTGTCGTCCGAGTCTATCTGGTCCCTCGAGTTCGGCGCTCTTCACACTCTTCGCTTACACATCGGCCCGTAGCACCCCACTGGACACACGCTGGTTCCTCGGCCGCCACGGTCCACCTACCCGGTGCTTGCTCACGCAGCCGACCTGTCCTTTCTCAGCGCCACACCAGACCTCTCGTTGTCTCCACTCTCTCGATTCTACCACACTTCTCTTCGCATTCTCTCACGCTCGATTCACAGCTCTGTTCTTTCCACACTCTCTCAACACACTCCTGAACCAACAATCGGCTTTTATACAAATACAACAATGTCTATAAAAATACAACAATGTATATAAACAGACACAACAATGACAGACACAATAATGTCTAACGCAGCAATGGCTATAAACAAATACAACAATGCAATAAACATACACAACAATGCCAGACACAACAATGTCTATAAACGAGTACAACAATGCCAAACGCAACACGTCACAATATATATATATATATTGTATATATAGCAGAGGCGAATTTATGAACTGCAAGGAAATAGACCCACACGTCTACAGAACTGTTAGGGACGTCGCGTTGAGTTGTCCGCCATAGAAAACCGAACCCCGACTCTGTTCATTCATAACATATTTCTGCTGTAGAAATGACAAATAGCGCTTTAAATTTCGCTACTTAACGCACAGTTCCGTGTTATGGAAGGTCCCACTGTGGGTGAGACCTGGGAGGAAGAATAAAGAGTTGGAAAACAGAAAGTTTCTATCAGCTCCAATTTCTTGGTTTAATTTTCGCTTCGTAGCAAGAAAAAAGCAACGGGGCTGAGGTAGCAATGCGATTTATAAGACGCCACACTCGTATTTCCAATTAAATGTCTCCCTGCTCTCTCACTACCCACCTCAACTGAAACAAGACGATATTTTTCTCCTGGCTTGTGTCGCCGTGTGGACCCGGATGAAGATATTAATGTTTCGGATAAACATACTGTCTCCACCTTCAGCCCTGAAGATGGAATAAGCGTGTTCTTCCGAACGCTGATATCTATTTACGGTTTCACATCCTACAACAACAATATTGACACCTTCACCGTCGTGAGAACTTTTATTATCTACTGGAATATATTTGATAAAAGGCAAGAAAGAAAAATACTCTAATACTAACACAGTGAACATTTCGGTAGCCGTAATTATTACATACTTGGCCAATTTGCAACAAAATGAGAAAACATACATTCACACATAGAATGTCCATAAATTTTGTTTTAGAGCTGCACTGTAGTTAAAGAGTTTCCATCCCTCGGTTCACTTAACATTGTTCGTTTTAAACACTTCGCGCAAGAATTAGAACGACCTGTACACCCACTCTGTCGTCCGAGTCTATCTGGTCCCTCGAGTTCGGCGCTCTTCACACTCTTCGCTTACACATCGGCCCGTAGCACCCCACTGGACACACGCTGGTTCCTCGGCCGCCACGGTCCACCTACCCGGTGCTTGCTCACGCAGCCGACCTGTCCTTTCTCAGCGCCACACCAGACCTCTCGTTGTCTCCACTCTCTCGATTCTACCACACTTCTCTTCGCATTCTCTCACGCTCGATTCACAGCTCTGTTCTTTCCACACTCTCTCAACACACTCCTGAACCAACAATCGGCTTTTATACAAATACAACAATGTCTATAAAAATACAACAATGTATATAAACAGACACAACAATGACAGACACAATAATGTCTAACGCAGCAATGGCTATAAACAAATACAACAATGCAATAAACATACACAACAATGCCAGACACAACAATGTCTATAAACGAGTACAACAATGCCAAACGCAACACGTCACAATATATATATATATATTGTATATATAGCAGAGGCGAATTTATGAACTGCAAGGAAATAGACCCACACGTCTACAGAACTGTTAGGGACGTCGCGTTGAGTTGTCCGCCATAGAAAACCGAACCCCGACTCTGTTCATTCATAACATATTTCTGCTGTAGAAATGACAAATAGCGCTTTAAATTTCGCTACTTAACGCACAGTTCCGTGTTATGGAAGGTCCCACTGTGGGTGAGACCTGGGAGGAAGAATAAAGAGTTGGAAAACAGAAAGTTTCTATCAGCTCCAATTTCTTGGTTTAATTTTCGCTTCGTAGCAAGAAAAAAGCAACGGGGCTGAGGTAGCAATGCGATTTATAAGACGCCACACTCGTATTTCCAATTAAATGTCTCCCTGCTCTCTCACTACCCACCTCAACTGAAACAAGACGATATTTTTCTCCTGGCTTGTGTCGCCGTGTGGACCCGGATGAAGATATTAATGTTTCGGATAAACATACTGTCTCCACCTTCAGCCCTGAAGATGGAATAAGCGTGTTCTTCCGAACGCTGATATCTATTTACGGTTTCACATCCTACAACAACAATATTGACACCTTCACCGTCGTGAGAACTTTTATTATCTACTGGAATATATTTGATAAAAGGCAAGAAAGAAAAATACTCTAATACTAACACAGTGAACATTTCGGTAGCCGTAATTATTACATACTTGGCCAATTTGCAACAAAATGAGAAAACATACATTCACACATAGAATGTCCATAAATTTTGTTTTAGAGCTGCACTGTAGTTAAAGAGTTTCCATCCCTCGGTTCACTTAACATTGTTCGTTTTAAACACTTCGCGCAAGAATTAGAACGACTGTTCATATTATGACAAAAAAGTCTGCTTACATTTATTATTTTCTTCAATTTATCTTGAATCATAAATACAGTACCTGTGAAATATATTATTATACTCTAGAAGAACGTATCTACGTTGAGCGAAAATCTCATTAAAAAAAACACCTTCCTTGAAAATCCGGTATAGGAAGGATTTACTGTAACGAAGATGGATGACTTCTGGGCTGTTCTGACGTGTAGTCTGGTAGAAGTTAAGCAACGTATCAGATGTCCTTGCTGCCTCTACCATTAAGGTGATAAGTAAGCCGCACGCGTGTAATCGGGCTATGATATAGGAAACTGCAGAACTGCTACGGCGACCGGCAGATTCGGCGGGCTCTCGAATCTCCGACGAGAGTTGCACCGCCCCGGGCAAAACCTGCCTCGGTCGCCTTCATGCCCTATGTGAACACGGCCTTCAACAGCAACGGCAAACTGATGTCCGGTCACAAAACCATGTCCGTTGGCCTTCACTGAAGAACATCCCCGGTTTCCTTCGGCCTGTGAAGGATGACTTGGGACTCAAGACTCCTGATGTGTTCAGCGATCCTGCGAGTGTGGTCAAGTCTGCATCGGGCATACCGCCGTTCTGTCGAGACTACAGTCAAGGAGCACCAGAGCCACATCCGGGTGGAGCATCTAGACAAATCCGCCGTGGCCGAACACAGTATCAACCTGGGCCGACCGCATTCAACTTCAGGATACCACCAAATCCAGATGCATGGACCAGATTATTAAGGAGGCCATGGAGATCGAGCTACATCCGAACAACATGAACAGGGAGGATTGCCTTCGCCTGAGTCGGTCATGGAAGCCATCAACCACTCTCACAATAATACAGCACTGCGAGGGTCGACCGGGCCACTACGTCACTACTGTTCTTTTCAGGATACTACCCGGTCCTGGCCAGCCCTTATTTCTACCAGAATACACGGTGCTAGAACCCAGACGATAGCCGTCTTCGAACACACCGCCGTGAAATCCTCAAATCCTGTTCGATTTATCACAATATAATATTCAGTCAGAAAGAAAATAAACTCATTACCTCATAATAAAAAATCAATGTATTAATAACTGGAGTAGGAATTCCTGCAATTACAGTAATTTTAAACTGATATCTGACTTACCTTGGATATGGGCAGCACCGACTGGATGTCATCTTTCTGAATTTCGAGTCGTGCTGTCAGTTTTCGGCGAGTCTCCTCCAAAATTCCATCCCTCAAGGGGCGGCGCTGGGTGCTGGATCGACTGCCGCCATTTGCTACATGATGGCCATGACCACCATGCAGTTGCCGGATGTTTTTTCCTGGACGCATAAACGGTGAGCTACTTTCGGCTCCCTCGAGAATGTAACGCACGCTCCATACGATGCGGCCGCCGTCCCATAGGTCAGAGCTGTCCTCCACCACTTCCAGTAGCCACGAGAACACTTCCTCCACCCTGGCAACAACACAGATATTTTATTCAGTGTCCACTCTGCGAGTTCAGACAAAGAGAAATTTAGGCGTCTAGACAAAACTGTAGGATAGAAGTAGTTCAACATGAGCTCAGGTTATATCCCACCTGAATACCAACTGCTTCTTCTCAAGACTGAACATAGGCATACACGAAAATAAAGCGGACCTAGGACAATGAGACTAATACCGAAACAGACAATGGGATGAACTGTTGGAGATCTTCATGAAGTTGGCCCATAACAGGATGAGAAGAAGGAGCAAGTTGAGATATTCATGTCTTTCGGGTTTCGAGTCTTTCTTCTCCGTGCGTGTTGCATGCACCTGCGATCTCATATTCACTGACTTGATCATCCTAATAACATTTATGAAGCTACTCATGTTGTGAGCTATGAAGCTCATTATGAAGTTTTCCCTAGGAGGTCCCTCAGCGCTTGTTCTCAGAACACATTCAAAAAGTGTTCTTCCATGAATGTGGAAGACAAAATGTCATACAAATTAAACACATCAAGTAACATTATACCTCTGAATATTTTAATTATGTTTTTACACGGGAATGTGAATGACAAAGGCTTACGAACGGCAAGGTAGCAATGATTCTCGAACTTAATCTGCTCTTAATTCCTTGGTGAAAGAAATTTTGATATTGCCATTCCCAGATGCTTAAAGTTTGCTATACTTTCGAAGGATTTCTTTAACTACATATATTAATTCTGCCCTGCAGTCAGATGACGAGACTAATATGTGTTTGGCTTTCTCTGCGTTTACGAGTTTTAAATGTATCTTAATGAAATAGCTCCATATGGATTGTAGTATTTTCGACTGTCTTCATGCAAGCATCCTGAAGGTGGAGGCGATACGTTTCTCCAAAATATTTGTTAACTCCCTACAAGAATAAATGGTGTCACAACCGATAAGACCAGAATCCACATTTAAGCGCCATGAAAACCTCAAATCTCATTATGGAAATGTTTTTAAAATATTGACTGGACTGAACTGGACAAGGATTTGAGCCAAATGGGATACTCTTGTATTGATGGTAATAAGCCAGTAGGAACATCTACCACTGATGTTAAATGAAACTAGAGGCAATTTATTTTTAAACACATCTAAAATCTGTCTTCATGCTTACAGTAATTCTGTAGTCTTTCTGACGGACTCAATCTGAGTAACTCTTGCCTGCCCATTTTCACTTACGTCAATACGTAACCATACAACTAGGAAGTTAAACATAAAACCCATCATTATGAAATCCCATAGAGCAGCCGCGTGTCGTTGGACCAAATTCAAGAATCCTACAAATGAGATTTGATAAAGAAGCAAAACTGCAGACAGAGAATTCTAAAAAAAAAGTGTGAGAGTAAAGAGTTTGTCATTGTTGTTGGTAACTTTCTATTGTGTTGAATGACTCCTCTGGGAACACGAACCCTGCAGACGAGATAGCGACCTCCTGTTAACAAAAGTTGCATTATGTACTGTACCAACTGGTGTCAAGCAACAGAGGGCAGCACACGCAGAGTGTGTGCAGAAGAAGGGCTCAAACTGCTGATGGTAAAGATAGAGGACGCTCAACTCTCTGAAAGAAAATCTTCTCTAAACGAAATTTTCGATTTCAATATTGCAAGTTATGATTGTGTTTGGCAAAGTTTATGTATGCGCATAACATAAATGCGCAACTACTGATCGGTACCTGAACAAATTCAGTAACAGAAAGCATCCACATAGCGCTTATAAGCGGTATGTGGATGTGAAACATTTGCGACCCCATATTCACAGGAACATTCTTTCTTATTTTTGATCCTGGAACACACACACGAAATTTGTAAACATATTTCTAACTGACTCTGTATTGTATATACTGCTTTCAATTATTATTTTAGTCCTGGGGATTACAATATGTTTAAGTACAGGTATACCTCGATTTGCGCAGCTTCAGAATAATGCCGCTTTTGAAACCAGCAAGTCAAAAGGTGAGAAAAATATTTTACTGTTATTTATAACGTTTTATAATGTTTCTCGTACTGATTCTTATACTAAGTCGTAATTCATACATTACTGATTTTGAATACAAATTATAAATACAGTCACCTCTGCACTCACTGCTAAGTAATTGCGAGATAATCTCCTAAAAATCCGCCAACATTGCGCCACAGTCACGTGAGCATTGGCCACTCTTCACGGTGAGTCATTTGCGTTTAGCCTGATATAGGAGTATGGAAATACGCTCAGTTCGCTTCTTGTTGACACAATGAATATGATGAAAACTGTGTGCTAAACGTGTTTGTGTTGTTCGACAACTATTCTGCAGTAGTGACTGTTTTATGTTTATAAATTGTAGAAGAGCCACCATGTCTGGTAAGAGAAGTGAATGTGTTGCTAAAAAGCTGTGTAGGTCTATTGCGTTAGAAGATATGATGGACGTAATTCGTAGAATAGAAGGTGGTGATACCCGTCGTAATGAGTGCAGAAGTATGAAGTTGCCTCCTTCCACCGTGACTACCATAATGAAAAATTCATATAAAATAAAACAGTCAATGCGACAGGCTACGAGAGTAAGTGCAACGCAAGTGAGTTATAGCAGAAGTAAACTTTTAGAAATAATGGAGAAATTACTGTTGCTATGGGTGAATGCCACGAATCGAAAAAACATTTCCTTGACTGAAATTGCTATCACAGATAAGGCGAAGTCAATTTTTGAGGAACTTAGGTCGTCAATGTTTGGGTGCCGGGAACGCATGTCATTGACTTCCCATTGATTTACATTATAAAAAGAATTTCAATTTAAGCCGATTCCATTTACGCCGGTTCGTCCAGGAACGCATCCCCGGCGTAAATCGAGGTTTACCTGTATATCCTTCTTAGAAGAATCGTGAATGTCATGATAATGGGTTAATGTTTCGCATTGAACTAAGACGCTCGATATTCTAGATGGAAAGATAAATAAAAACACTCGAATCGATAACTGCAGGCTTGTACGATGAAGCTAGTTGATGTCGATACCGAGTTTCCTCTGCGTTGTTTGCTTATTCTGGTATCATGTTAATGACAATGTCAAGCCATGACCTGATCTATGAAGATAGAGTAATACGATTAGTCGATCAGTCGACAACGGGAACTGACGTGTAGACTAGAGGATTATTAATTACGTGCCACAGCCCGTGGTTCATAAAGTGAAGGGAACTTATTTTATGGGCAGTAACAGTTGCTGCGTGGACGTGACATTAAGAATTGATGGGGAGAACTCACAAGCGCTCTCACATGCAAATCTTCCGCCCATCCTGTTTCATTCGAAGACAGAAGTGTTGGCTTATCCAGTGGGTCGTGACTCCCAAAGGATAGTTGCAGGGGACGGTAATAACATACTATAAGGAAGAAAATGACTCTCTTCACTAAATATAATATCCACAAAGATGACATTGTATAGAAACAGAAATGATCGTATGTATAATACAACTGAAACTTCAAAACGAAACAAAAATTACGGGGTAAGATTGAAAGCTTTCACGAAGATTGAATGAAGAGAAATCTTCAGGGTCATCATCATGGTTAGTGACGCACACAGAGAGTCTCCGAAAGACTGAATCATAGCTCGATTCTCACAAGGCTGATAGCCCAAGAAGACACCTTTTTTTAGGAAGTCCGACGTCTGAAACAGACGGTGGAAAGTATCGAATGTTTAGTCATAGCAGTTTTAGGGCTGGGTAAAAAATTGGTCCTGTCTTCCCATTAGTTGTCTTTCTAAAGTTAATTTCACTTCAGAATAATAATTAACACAGCTGGAGAACTTTACATAAGCACGCAGGAATGTTACGAACGGGATTTATAAACCTCGAGGTGGGTGCTGATATCTGAGGTTCTCATGTGTTCTGGGATATTGCACCGTGCACTCGATCCAAGGAGAGCCTCATCTACCTACAGGTGGAAGTATTGACCCGACTCACCACTTTCAAAATGTTTTCCTGGGGAAAGTAAAATTACATTGCAAACATCAGGCCGCTTGTGTCCGCAAACTACCTGTCAGTCCCCTTTGCATTCATGACTCATGTGAATAACGCAAGAAGACAGACGGTGGTATAAAATTTGTGGCTATACTCGCTACAATACGGCTCTCATGAGGAAGATATGTTGGATCAGGAGTTTGACTTTAATTAAAACGCAAAGAGATTTGTGTCAAAGATAATCGATTTAATGTGTTTAAATACACACTGCTGAGAACAGCACAAGGGCCTAAGAGAGAGGATATCACGGGTAAGTAGTGGAAACTACACAACGAGGAGATCTGTAAGTTTCAATGTTTAAAATCGTTATTAGAATGATTAAATTAAAGAGGCTAAAATGCGCGGGAGAAACAGCAAATACGTAGAAAATTGTGGTGGAAAGTCTTGAAAGGGAGGAGACAATTTGCAAGGCCTAAGCTTAGGCAGAAGAATAATACTTAAATAGATCTTAGGAAAATGCTTTGGGAGGCTGCAGTTCGGACTAATTCGAAATTATACGTCATTAGAAAACTATACTAACCGAAGAAGGCGTTGTTTGTTAAACATTCGTCATGAAAAAAACTAAAAACAATCTTATCTCTTTTCCATTTACTATCGCAGCAACCCCAGACTGGCGCCTCAATTCGTCTTGCGGGAGCCAAGATTTCTCCACGACTCTCATCAAGGAGCACGTCTTGATATTTAAATGAGGGGAAACTATTGGTATTTGCAGGGCGTTCTGCCATGTAACAAAGGGGAGATGGGGGAGGACATATTTGCAAATGGGAACCGAGTGCATAACTTTCCATATAGACAGTAAAGCAATTTGCTAAGTGTGTTCCAATAACACTGGGAATATATGCGGGTTGCATAGTTCACTGCTACCGTCAAACTATGACCTTTCAAACATCTATAAATCATTTGTATGGAAATACCACACTTCTTCCCACCTATCACTTCCACTAGCTGAATAACCTCGTCCGCTCCCTGATTGATTATGCAACCAAAT